AGTTTATATAAATCAGAGGCTCTAAACAGTCAAATTAGATCGCATTTTAAAATTTTCACTAGAAGATGTTTTGATGCCAAAATATCCCCAAATTGCTCATCTCAACATCAAGATGCATGGACATGAGAAGAAAATAGATTTCAAGTTTTGGAACTAGTGCATCATTTTTGGATCGTCAATTTTTGAGTTTTCATAAATCTATTTGATCTACACTATTTTTTAAGCTTTAAATTTTATAATTAGAGATTAAAATATATTTTAAGGCTATCACAAAGATTTCCAATATTGAAACCACATTTTTCGACACTATTTGAAGGCGTTGTATTTTGATTGTTCAAAACTTCGGCTCTATACAAGCCGCACCCTATATATATAAACAATTTGGAGTTACGGCATCTTATATAAACATTCAAAGAGAGAGAGGTGTTTGGATAAACACATGAGGAGAGAGATATTTGGTGGTGAGAGGTTACCAGGAGGAGAGAAAGGTGTTTAAATAAACACGGGAAAAGAGAAGTGTTTGGATAAACACGGGAAGAGAGATATGTTTGGATAAACACGGGAGGAGAGAGAGAATGAAACACGCAACAAGAGAGAGAAAGAGAAGTTTTGGGTATATAAATGTAGAGAGAGAAGAAATTGGGTTTAAAAATATCATGCCTTTTTCACATTTGTTTAGGTTAAAAAATAGGTTTAAAGTGACCAGGGGGGTTGGAAGATATTTGTTGAAACCTTGGGTTTATTAAAAAATAAAATGTAAAAATAGAAGATATGGAGATGTTTTCCCTAAACAAAAATGGATTTCAAGTTTAGGAATAATGGATGTAAAGGTTTTTCAATATTTGAATTGCAATTCTTTAAGGCTTTACTTATTTTGATAGGGCTGCAGTCTTATCAAACCTTTTCCGTTTTATGTTGTCATATTGGATAGTAATTATCGCTGTTTTCATCAGACAACTAGGGAGGGTTAGATAAACCTTTTCCGTTTTATGTTGTCATATTGGATAGTAATTATCGCTGTTTTCATCAGACAACTAGGGAGGGTTTCTTGAGGGCTTCGAGTTCTAGATATTTTATTTCTATATTTAGGGGGTGAGCTTTGTATTTATCTTATTGTTGTCTCGTGTCCATGGGATGGACATGGTTACCGTACTCCAAACTATTAGATCTTTTTTAATGTGTACTCCAAATTATTAGACCGTTATTAGTCCGCCAAACACAACGTTTATATGTAGAGTCCGATAAACTTTTCGAAGAATCCAGAATTGATTCATTGGAGACAAGAAGCTTTCATCATGATCATCAAAGTTTTTTCCCAACTATTTGTATCTGGGATTGAAAATGCTCTACGCCTCGAAATTTGCAAATCTTGTATAACGTAAAGACTTGAATAACTTTTTTGAAACCTTATAATCGGGCTCTGAGTAATAGAGTACTTAGACTTGACAACATTCCAAGGAATAGACTATCCGACTTAACATCCACTGCTAAAGGACAATAGGGAAATCTAATTCTTTTGACTCCATATTTATCCGGGAATTTTTTAAAAAAAAAAAAAAAAAATTGGATCTACTTAAAAATCATCAGATAATTATTTTCATATTAAGATCTTACCTTCCAAAAATTGGATGATCCCTGTTCAATCTTGGGACAAGTTTTCTGTTTTTGTGGTTGGTCACTAGGTTCGAGACCTTACATCCCAAAAATTGTAGGTTCCAAAGAATACTTCTAGCTTAAGTTTTTCCCAAGGAAGCGGCATCTTTTCAATTTAAGTACTATTTATCGAAGTTGATATCACAAAGTTGTTCTGCTGTTGTTTCTGACAGTAAAAGACATGTTTACTTGATTAATCAGATCAATCAACAAAAGAAAAGGATTGTATACTGTGCGGACCATTTATTTTGGTACAAAGAGAACACAAGATGTGAAATCATTTTTCTTAACTGAATGGCGCTTTAAGGACACGCGCATGCTACAAAAATGGAAATATGATCCCCTAAAACATTTCACATTATAAGGTTCAGTAACCATAGTATCACAGCTATCATTTCATACAAAAAACACAATATGATAGTCCAAATCACAATCTCGGAGAAGAATCTCGAATCTCAACAATCCGGTCATTTTAGCAGCCTTCACTAAAATTCATTGTTCGCCCTGCAGAGAAGGAAACGTCAAGAAGCTCCCATCAAACCGTGTGCACGTGTCTCATTTCCATATTGGCTTTATTTCTGTGCAATTTATTTACCAAAAAAATGTGTGGGCCCTTTTCGTTAGGTGCAGTAAGATTATCCCCCAACCTGCTCCTCTCCTGTGTGTGTGTTAAATTTTTGGATGGTGGGAGTACTAGAATGCTACTAAATAAGAACTAAGTTCCACACTGAAAGCAATTTGGTTGTATTCTTATAGCCTAGGACATTGGTCATTGGAGGCTTTAAGAGTCCTTCAGCCTAAGTGGCAGTTCAAATCCCAGATGGGAAAGACATTGAAATTATTCACAGCAATATTATTATGGGCAGCAAAGAATTCAGAAGTGCAGAGCATCAGATTTTAATGGTCTAGGACTCTCTGGGACCATGAAACTAAGAAGAATACAATACTCTTGAATGTGCATAGATTTGAGTAACTCTTTTTACCCATCAAACAAGAAGAAGAGAAGATAAAGAACATCTACCAAAGACTATGAAAAAGAAAAATATGAGTAAACATAATCTAAAAATAACTCCAAAAAAGATCCAAAAGCCTTACTTGAGTAGTTGGTGGGGGAATATCAGAAGATTTGGGAGGAATAGGCCATTTAGTTGGAGAGCCATCAAAAATGTGAGAACAGTCGGTATATGCAGTTCCAATACCCACACCAGCACCAAAAGCCACAGATGCCCATCGCGTCACAGGGCTCCCTGGTTAGATATAATCAGAGCAAACCAAAATATTGGTAATATGATAATACTAAAAATGAATTCATAATAATTAGAAGGATATTGTTTACTTCATTATTACACAAATGGTAACGAATATCAGATCAGAAAAACGATAACTGAAGAACAGGTAGCAAGTGTAAATTGTTCCTGATATGTTACAAAGTATTTCATGTTCCATGCCAATTTAATTTCTAAGTTTAAACCATGCCATTATAGTGGAAAGTAGAAGAAAAAAGAAAATCAAGAAAGATAAAAATTACTGTTTTGTAACAGAAACTTGATGCTGATTTTTTAATTTTATATATATATATATATATATATATGAAAAATTACAAATAACCCCCAATAATAGACTTCCTATGCAACTTACCCCAACCAAACCTTTTCTCACTTTTTACCCCAAATTTAACTTTTCTAACAAATATCCCCAAGTCATATAAAAGGTAAAATGAAGACCAAAATACCCTCTGGAAAGCAAGTGGTCTAGCACAAAATGGGGGCAGTCCGGCACTTTGCTTCTGGAAAGCATGCGACCCGGCACAAAATAGGGGTGGTCCGGCACTTTATAGGGGCGGTCCGACACTTTGAGCTTCTGGAAAGCATGTGGTCTGACACAAAATAGGGGTGGTTCGACACAAAATAGGGGCGATCCGGCACTTTGAGCATGTGGTCCGACACAAAATGGGGGCAATCTGGCACTATTGGCATTTTTGTCAAAAAAATGTGACTTTTTTTACTTGGGGGGGTATTTGCTAGAAAAGTTCAATTTGGGATAAAAGATTCTAAAAAATCTTTGTTGGGGGTAGGTTGTCTAGAAAATCCCATTTTGGGGGTTTTTTGTAATTTTTCCTATATATATATATATAAAATATGCTGAGATTAGCCCACTAGCTCATATGAACATATGAACCCAACGGCCCAGAATAAATCTAGACGGATTTGACAGTCACGACCTCATTTCGTGTTTTAATTTTAATTTTTTTCTATGAATCCAAATAATTTGAAATTTTAGTCGTGTATTCTTCAAAAATAGGAGAATCTAATAAAAATATAAAAAAAATAATTTGCAAGAAATAAATTGACCAAAATACCCCTGAAAAGTTTTGGGGGTATTTTGGTCAACTTTTTGTTTGCAAATTATTTTTTAAATATTTTTATTAGGTGCACCTTGATGAGAAGAATAGATGTCTAAAATTTCAAGTTGTTTCAATTCGTAAAAAAAAATAAAAAATAAAATAAAATTTAAAATTCAAACACGAAATGAGGTTGTGCCCGTCAGAACGGTCCACATTCAATCTGGGCCATTGGGCTGTTCATATGAGCTAGTGGGCTAATCTCAGCATTTTCCTTCATAAATATATATATATATATATAAACAATAAGAATAGCTATAAATGAAAAAACGGATCCACTTCTAGATAGATGAAAAAGCAATGTTGTCTGCCCCCAAAATATAGAATAGTATACGCCCTTCCCAGTGTTATTGCTTGAGGAGAACACAATGTGAGGGACCAATTTTCATATTTGTTATGTACATATTCTTCAATTAGAAGCTCATGGTGTACATAGGAACATATTACTCAATAAGAAGGTACAACCTACAGCAATCTAATGGGTTCGTGAAAGATCCATCCAGAAACACTAAAAGGTTCCTCCCAGAGCTAATGGTACAAGATAGGCAACTCTAAAATCCAGGAAATCATAAAAAGAAAGCTCAAATCATCGACTCAATGGGGATACTAACGTTGTCCTGCAACTGAAGTTACTAAACCAGAAAGAACTTAAAACCATTGTTGTTGTCCTGCAACTGAAGTTACTGAACCAGAAAGAACTAAAAACCATTTTTTGATCACATGATGCCAATGGTAAAGTTTCAATCTGATCACTACTCAGAAGGTATGTTCACCTGTTGCTACAGAAACACCCAATAAGCCCTATAGGCTTCATAACAGAGGCAAAGTACTATGGACATCTGACAAAATAAAACATGGACAGTTAGCATTAGCAACAGGGCATAAATCAGCATCAAAAGATTCACTCACAGGTATGCCAGTAGTGAATAATGCGACAGTCTATTTTAAATCACTGATAGCTCCCTTATTCATCTTTGAAACCAATGAGAGTTCATGCAAAAAAAAACAAACTACTAAATAGCTCCTACTTGTCACATCCATTGGCAGTAACAGGACTCTGCAGTTCATGAATTATTGATTTTTATAAGATGTCAGTCAATTGTTAGTAGATTCATCAAAGATCAGGATGCACTCGAGGACCAGCTATTCCTTCAAACCAATGGAGACTCTCATTTTGCAAATGGTTGAGTAGGGTTTTACATCTTCAGTAGGAATGCTAATTGGAGCAACTCGACACTAACAACTCTACTGGCCTTGTCAAGCATCTTCATTCTACAAACTTGGGTGAAATAAAGAGGTCCCTATCAATGGCTTAAGGACCTAGCTCACAATATGAATGCATTTTCCTTGTCGTACAAATAAATAGCAAATGAATATGGGGTTCGTATGTTTATAAACTGATGTAACATTTTAAGTCAGAGGCAGTACTCATGCTGCCATATAAGTAAACCGTGCAGTAGAGTAGGGGTCAGTCCATTCTATTGAGAAAATCAAACTCACATCAATGAGAAAGATGGATTAAAGCCCTAACATACAAACAGCCACATACGAAGTAACTAAAATAAACTGAAAGGACACACAATCTACATGTAGTTCATGTTTGTACATAACACGTATACAATCTAACTATAGTATATAAACGTGTTCAACAAATACACAATGTAGTGAAGCTAAGCAATACTCTGTTCACCAAGCAAGTGCATATATATGTATGTACTTCGTAATGAGTAAATCTACTTCTTGTTCTATTGTGATGATGAAGACAGGCTACCCATTAAATAACCTCTAATCAGAACACTGATCAACTTTGATCAACTTTGATATGCTTCACCGAGTCATGGAACACATTGATTAAAATCAATACATATGATGCTGATGCTATCTTTTGGAACTGAGGTATATGAAAAAAACTTGAATGCCAAAATTAGCTAACCATACTTGAAGGCACATAAGAAGGGATATTGAGGTCTCTTGGAACTGAAGTACATGAAAAAAACTTGAATGTGAAAATTAGCTAACCATACTTGAAGGCACACAAGAAGGGATATTGAGTATAGCTGAGATGAGGATGTTGAGATGGATGAGCGGCAAGACAAGAAGGGATAGAATTTGAAATGAATACATTTGGAAAAATTTAGGTGTGGCACCAATAGGTGATAAGATGAGAGATATAGACTTAAGTGGGTTGGCCATGTGTGGCGTAGACCCAGTACATCACTTGTTAAGAGGTGCGAGTTCGTTCAAGTGGAAGGCTAAAAAATGGCAAGGGGTAAGCCCAAAAGGATATGGTTGGAAGTAGTGAGGAAAGATATGGGGACTTATGGCCTCACTGAGGGCATGACCCGTAATAGAAAAAAATGGCGAACTAGGATTCATATAGTCAATCCCTATTAGTTGGGAAAAGGCTTTGACAATAATGATGATTTGAAGGCACACAATCACTCAAGATGTAGCAGACATGTCAGCTTCCAGACATGACTTCCACATAGCGTCTTGCTTCTTGTAGCACTAAATAACATGTGAGTTATCACAAAATATACAAAAAGGTAAACTTCATATATTAGGTCAACTCATTTAGAATCACACAGGCAAATATATTGCAAATTTTATAACCAAAACAAAACTAGTCTTGTATTCTAAGTCCATCAAGGAAAAATAAGAAATAATATCATCTTTGGAATAATGAGCCTTCATTGTCAAAATTTCTGACAATCATTGCAGTGAATACTCCTCTTATCTTAAATAAATAAAGCTAGGGAGCCATATAAAATTTCAAGATGTCCATAACGTTGTAACATAGCACAGCAGGTGCACCAAGATTAAATGGTACAGGATTGAGAGAAACTGCATGTGAAGCATCCAAACCGATGCCTCTACCGCTATAAATATTATATAATATAAGCTGGGGAGTCGCATGAAAGGGCAGGAGCACCACTGTTGGACACAACACTGCAAAAATATATAGGGATAGCGGTCTCATCTCCCCTTCGATTAGAATAGCCAAAGCATCATCCAGTTCATGAGAATCAGATCATAGCATGCAATATGCATGTATTGATACACAGGTTTGAGACCCCAAAGTGCATGAACCAGACATGACATTAATTATTATGGTAAAATCGTCAAATATCTATGCACATCGAATATGGAACCATAAATGCTTACATGTTGCTGAATTTATGTAAGGCCACATAAGATTCATTTGATTGACTAGTTGGTTCAGGTGACCATTTTGAGAAACTCGTTCCACGTTCCAACTGATAAAATCTTGCCTGATTCATTTGACAATACACCTTTTCAAGTGTTTACATAACTTATGTAGTTTCAGATCTCATTAATCCAATTGCAACTAGAATTTTTACTGACTTAACTTCTTCTTGAATTGCATACACCAGTGATCCCTTATTTGCTAGGGTTACAAAAGTCCCTCTGAGATGATATAACAAATTGGACCTAGACATGTTTATACTCGTGCATATATACAAAATAAATTACGCACATAGCATTACACAAACTACAATACCACTATCATCTATTATGACTCCACCTAGAGCAGTTGTAAATATTCTCTTCAACCATTACAATTCCCCAGGACGATCATTCTAGTTAACTTTCTCATCCTCCAGAATCCAGACAGCTCACATATTCATCCATTATTGCATCTTTGGACACTCTCAATGACAAATCATGCATGAAGAATTAAAATCCTTACTGGAAAACGCGATCAGTACCTTTTACCCAAGCAACTGGAAAAAATACCATTCAGGCTTTTATATACACAAAGTTGAAGTGAAAAGGAACACTATACACATCTAAGGAAAATCTGGTGGGTTATACACAATTTCA